ATACCATGTTCTTTGTCGTATCCTTCCATTACATTTCTAACTTTTTGAAAGCTATGTGTCTTTCAATCTCTTCGTCAGTCATCTTTCTAAACTGTTCTTTATATTTTTCATCATATTTGTTTTTTCTTCTTCATTTCTACTATACATAAATGTTTTCATCCGTTTCTTTTCCATTTCTATATGTTTGTTTTCCATGTGTTGAAACTTAATATGTTTATTTCCACACTTCCCACAAACATTTACGACGGTTTTAAGTATGTATCCCCAGTAGAGTTTGTCATATTTGCTTTTGTTCAAGTTAATCACATCAACCATAATACGACATCCACACTCAAATTCCGTCATCTGATTTACTCTTGATATACTAAGGCACTAAGGCGTCTTTTTTTCAAGTATATTTTTTACACTGTTGATAAATTAAAAAAATAAAAATAACAAAATTAACTATAATGGCAAGAAGGTTAACAAAAGAACAAATTATCAGCAACACTTACTACGATGTTGAAAGTGGCTTCGGAAGTATTCAAGAAACCTTTAAGAAAGAAAGAACATAAAACCAACAAAATCCAGAAATAAGTCTAGATGATGTTCAACACATTTTGACAAAACAACCAAACAAACAAATGAATGCCTATAGAGGTTCTAATTCTTTCACAGCCCCGTTCGCCCGTTATGAGTATCAAATTATAATTGATATAATGGTTATGGCGCCACTTTCCACAGAATCAGAGGTAAAAATAACACCAACCAAAAAAGAACCAACATATGCATTAGTAGTCATTGATATTTTCAGCAAATACGCTGATGTTTTACCAATGAAAGAAAACAATTCGGAGAGCGTATTAGAAGCATTGAACCAAGCATTTAAAAAGATTGGTTTTCCAATGTCCATTTATTCAGACAATGATGTGCGTTCCAATCAGTCGTTAGGAAGTTGTTTGATGACGAAGGCATACAACACATCGTCACGCAGACCCACGCAAATGTAGCGGAAAGGTTTATAAAAACAATGAAAAATATAATGCACGAGAGGCTCAGGTTTAATAAAGCAGGTTGGACATCAATGCTGACACCAGCACTGAACAAATACAATTCCACCAAGCACTCATCAACGAAGATGTCAACAAAACAAGCACACAAGGACGAGAACAATAGCACTGTGAGGGTAAGTTTAACATTAAGAGAAAACAACCGAAGAAAGTATCCAACCATACGAGAAGGTGATAATCGCTTCAAAGAAGTATCGCGAGTTTGAAGTTCAGAGTTTATCAGAAGCCTTTTACTTTTTGCGTGGCACACTTCATTTCATGAGTGCACACCAGAACTCAGTGAATATGTCATACCGCCAATTTAGAAAAAACAAATATGTACAGGCAGATGTTGAAGGCGGTACCGGTAGTATAAAATAGAGCTGTTCCCTTGTAGAAAACGTTCAGGTGAAGGCGGTACCTTTAGCGCTTAGTATGCGTTTCACAGACATTGGATTAAGCATGCCAGACCTTGGATCATCTACTAACGCTAGCGTTAAGTCGTATCAGCTCGTAAAAGTCGTATCGGGAGGCCGTGCGCCTGGAAAAAGTTCAAATTTGGCATCACCACAACTTTTAGTAATTGAACGATTTCATTGTTTTGGGGCCGTGCGCCTGGAAAAAATTAAATTTTTGTATGGCGTTGATTTTTAAAACTTATATTTGATCATTCTTTCAATGGGGCAAACGCTGGTTGCTGCTTGCTTGCTGCTTGCCTGCTGCTGGCTGCTGCTTGCTGCTGCTTGCTGCTGCTTGCCTGCTGCTTGCTGCTGCTTGCTGCTGCTGTTTCTTGCCTGCTTCTTGCCTGCTGGTCCACCACAGTTTTTGATATGCAACCTTTCTGTCCAAACCTGACTTGTGAATCCGGAGTTCCAGTGCGAATTAAAACACACTGTTCATGAGATTCTGGCAGGAGTAGTCTTGAGAAGCGGAGTTCACATGGGGATTTGCTCAAGTGGTTTGGGCAGGTCTGAAGCATCAGTAAAAGCCAGCGTTCCATGGGAACGGTGAGTCATCAACCAAATATGTTTAATAGTTTGGGTACCGGCGTTCCATTGGAAAGACGTTTCTGGAAATGAGTGTTTTCAAGTCTACAAACCGTAAGCGTTAAAGCGTTTCCATTGGGTTTCATAGTCCATGCCCTGCCTTTCCTGACTTAGCTGTGACCACGGCGTTCCATGCAGGAACACATATTCTAGCACCACCGGTCCTGCCTTCAACGTTCTCCTGTAATGGCCTTTCGCTTTGAAAACATGCAAGAAGTTAATTTTACCGGCACTAACACCAGGATGGGAAGTTTAATCACTTTTGAAGCAAAAGGAGCTGAAGGAAACTTAGCTAAACTTGAACAAATCCAAGAAACGTTTGTTAATTTAGTCCTTGAGAATGTCCTTGAATTAACTGAAAGCGGGGCGACATTTAATGATTAAAATGTGTGTTTAATTACTATTTGATCAATTTTCCAAGTCTTTAAAAACAAACCAAGCAGAACTACAGAAAACAGATGGGCAAACCTGAGGGCAAACCATCTAGGACGGGCACGCACAAGGATCAGGACACAAGGTATATGAAGTGGTTAAAAGAAAAACGGGACGAGAGAGAAACCAGAGACAAACTACTCGCAATAAGAAATGCCAGTGAATTATAGTAATGAAATCCGAAGGGACAACCTCACACATAATAGTTTAGAGCACCCACCGCATCAAATAAATCAATGTAAAATTGGTTCTACATATTTTTTAATATGGCAACAACAGTGATAATTAATGTGAACAAGATGTCAAAGTATGGTTTAAAAAGAAAAATCTACCTATGTTGAAATTATCGGAAGGCTTGATGACAATGAGAGGGAAAAATACCAAATAGGGATGCGATGTTTCAAACGTAACCCTGAAGGATCATTTTTTGATGGTTCAGATGCCATGGAGCAATTTAGGGAAGAACGGGGAAAATTATTATTAAGACAAATGCCAGATGTTTTTGTAAGGCAAAAATGCAAGAACAGCAGGGAGAACTTTTCACACTGAAAGCATGCAACAAATACCCACAACATCATCAACAATAGCACAGCCAACTCAACCCATGGATGTAGATGCAGAATTTACACAGCTGGCTACACCGGCAATATCAAGTTCATCAACAGTTCAAGCATCTCAATTCAATGCTGAACTGACACAAAGAGCAAATACAGCAACTAAAAGGAGAGAAGAAACAGAAGTGAACCACATAGGAGAAGTGTTCAAACAAACCAAACCCACAATAATTGAGCAGATACATCACATAAGCCCACCAGGAAGGTTTGTTCCCATAAAACGTGAAAGTTACAACATAGCAACTGATGACGAACCAATGCCACCAGTTCCAAAAGCAAAATTTAAAGCAGAGGCATCACCATTTTCAAGTTTTCACGCACTTCCCGTTATAAAAGTCATGGGTGCAAGTTGCAAGTAGCAGTTCTAAAAGAGCCTCACCTGAAACAACAGTAGAACCAAGGGGTAAAACAGGGAAACCCAAGATGTTCAAAGAAGGAACCGACAGAATGAATGCAGACAAGAGGAACGGAGGTGGTCTTGAAGACGAACTTGAAGTGAGAAAGAAACATAACAAAAGGAAAATTGCGTTCGAAATAGGAGGAGCGGAAGCTGACGATGCAATTGATGAACCAAAAGTCATTAGGAAAAAACAATGCAAAAACCAGTAGGTCCAAGCACCATAGGAGTGCAAAGGTTAAAAGAGGAACTTGTTAATGCCAACAACAACAACAACAAAAAAAAATGATTTCAAAACAACAGTGTGACATGTTTGACCGTGTTTGTTACGTATGGCTCAAATCGAAAGGCGGTGACGATGAAAAACAAATGTTGAAGCAAACGCGGGTTACTTACAAAACGAATTTGTTTCAGAAATTGAAGGATGAATATAAGAAACAATGAGTTGTTTCGAACAACTCAGTGATTTTTAAGAATAATGTTTTGTGGAGTGCGTTGGTGTCTTTATTTGCCATTTTATAAAAATCCAGAAACTATTTCTTGCAAAGGTAGGAATCATTTGCTAAATTCTAGAAACTATTTACTAAATAATGTCAAGTTAGGATTAATAATCCCCGCGGTATTAATCAATCCCCTCTGCCAAAAAAAAAATTGTAATTTAAAAACAGGTGGTCCCCCCAGATTAATAAACCGGTGGGCCTACCCCCGATTAATCAACCACCACTTCATGAAACCATTTCATTTCTCTCAAAAAAACCTTTTCTCATAGGAATCTGTTGGTTTACCCAACAAGGGGAGCAGGAAAAAAAAAATGTTGAAAAAGAGCCAAAATGGCTGCGGTTTGGGAAAGCTATCTATTTATCCATCTAAAATTTTTCCCCATAGGAATCTGTTGGTTTACCCAACCAGTGGTGCAGGAAAAAAAACATGCTGAAAAAGAGCCAAAATGGCTGCGGTTTGGGAAAGCTATCTATTTATCCATCTAAAATTTTTCCCCATAGGAATCTGTTGGTTTACCCAACAAGGGGAGCAGGAAAAAAAAAATGTTGAAAAAGAACCAAAATGGCTGCGGATTCGGAAATCAATCTATCTATCCAAAATCTTTTCCCATAGGAATCTGTTGGTTTACAGAACCAGGGGTGCTGCTTGGTGGGGGGTATTAATCCATAGGTATTAATTAATTAATTATCTCAGGGGGTTGATTAATACCGCGGGGATTATTAATCCTAACTTAATTAGTTGTTAATTATAAAACCAAAAACCCATCACTGTTCCCATGCTGCCAAAAACCCATCAATGTTCCCATGCTGCCAGAAACCCATCACTGCTCCCATACTGCCAAAAACCAATAAATGCCCATGCTTCCAAAAACCAATCACTGCTCCCATGCTTCCAAAAACCAATCACTGCTCCCATGATTCCAAAAGATAAAATCACTGCTCCCATGCTGCTCATTGCTTTTTTTTTCTGCTGATGGCCTGCCTCATTGAAATTGTTTTTCAATGGGCTTGCCTGTTCGCTTATGTGCCTGTCTCATGAAATAATACCTTAGGCATTTCCATTTGTCGCACTTATAGCATCCACTCTGATGCCTGCATTTGGGACACACCCCGACCTCATTCAAGCTGATCCTCAAGATCTCTGACTGGTACTCCTCACCCAGCTCATCCTCCTGGATGGTGCCACCTTCCTTGAGGAATCTGATGGCTTCCTTCTGCATGTCATTCAGGATCTGGTCCTTCTTTACCTTCATCTCAGCCACTTTCAATGTTTTCTGCAAGGCTTCGAATGCTTTAGCACCATTGCCCTTGATCTTCTCATCCTGCTGCTGGAGATCCTTGTGGTACTTCTCCTTCTCATCAGCCAATGCCAGTGTGAGCTTCTGCAATCGCTGATGCCACCCATGGGCTGCATGTTCAGCCCATCCAGTAGCTGCAGGGCCATGGCCCAGATGTCTCATCACCTTGGACAGGGTGGTAAAAAATGTGTTACCCATGGTCAAGTGCATGCTTTGGGGGTCAGTTTGCTTAATTAAAACAGATGATGCTTGTGGTGCCCATGGGATTCCCTACCCTACCTCCTGTTCAGCATATGCCAAAAGATATTGGCCACATAGGTTGCTACCATATGGCTGTCTTGATTTCTGATTCTGCCTATGCAAAGCTGGGCAGTGAAGCATGCCTTCACTGATGCAGCCCAATGATTGCATGATGCCCAGCAATCTTTCTGCCATTGCCACAGTTTTCTCTGGAAGGTTGCTGATTTCCTCCTCAGTGCCAATCTTTTTGCGATCATCTGAGCCACACAAGGAATCATAGTACCTGATCTCACCCGCATGCTTATCCACCACCAGCAATGACCAATGGCCACCAGATGCCAATGGGCAGAGAAATGCATCATCTTTGCCAGCCATCTTCTTCTTGAGACATTTGCATAGGAGCTCATGGCTGACAAACTCATTGTCAGCAGGGTTGTCTGCAGCCAATGAGCACACCAATGCTGGGCTGAGCATGCTGATGCCCTGTATCTCATCCAGCTTCTTCTCTAATGCCATGTAGCATAGCACCAACCCCCCATAGATGATGTGTTGGCCATCCAAACCATCTGCACCCATATCTTTGGGAACCAATTCCACCTCATCCCAAGGGAGATCCATCTCATCAACATCCACATGGCAAGTGCCTGATTGCAGCAAAATGTGCTGCTTGGCTTGCCTGCCTAGGGATAGCTGAGGAAATACCCAGGAAGGCTTGATGCTCTCATCGATGCTCATGACCCATGCTCTGTCTACCCATGCCACCCTCTCAAAGGAATTCCTCGGACCACTTTCCAAATGCAACTGTATCTGAGTTTCCCCTGCTCCCATTGCAGGTCCTTGCCTTCCAAACAGCATGGGACCAGCAAATTCACTGATGATCCTGAACTTGCCTGATGGCACCTCATAGGCTGCTGCTGGCTCATCCGCTGGAGGTGGCAATGCAGGAGGTGGCAATGGAGGAGCTCCTGCTGGTGGCTCATCAACTTTCTGTGCTGATTTGCCTTTCTTTAGAAGCTTCACTGCCTCATTCTTGATGGCATTCTTCTTGTCTTTCTTCTTGGTTGCCTTCTCATGCTTCGCAGCCAAGCTCATGCTCTCCTGCTTCTTCTGATTTTTCCTTTTTTTTTTGGCTATCAGCTTCGCTGTTGGTTTCTTTGCTGATGGTTTTATGTCCATCATGGCTTCCAATCTGCTCTTAGACTGAAGGTTGTTCTAATGTCCTGCCCACATTGTTGCCTTTCTTATGAGTTCTCTTCTGTCCCATGTAGGTGTAGGTCTCATCCTGCAGCCACTCTCCTGTTTCACTGATGTTTGCCAGAGAGGCATGTGGTCCTGGCACAATCAGGATGCCAGGGCTAACCACACCTAATGGGTTCTCATCAGGGTCAAAGAAGTTGAGGACACTCTGATGAGCTTCGAATGTAATGCGATACTTGTCAACATTTTGTTCTCTCATTGTAGTCAAATGTTTCTTGCCTGATGATTTGCGATCTGCTGCTTCAGGAATGTGCCATTCCTCACCTTCATCATGAGGAACAATCTGCTGATCCTTTTCCTCATCTCCCTTCTGCTGATTTTCTGTTTCTACAATGCCCTTCTCATGCGCTTTCTTATCCAGTTCCTCCCTGATCTTCTCTCTATGGCTTGTAACATCCTTTGCAGATTTCTTGGCCTCATGTGCTGCAAAAACTTCTCTGTTGCTAGGTTTCTTGACCCACAATGGGATCTGATCAGAGAAATGCAACACACACTTCCTCATCTGCTGTTTTGCCTGATCTGGCCTGCTGAAGAGCTCCTTATAGTCCTCATCCTTTGTTTGTGCAATCCTCCAGATCTGGTAATCATGCTGATTCCAACTCAGCTCTGCTCTGATCTGCTGCTCCACATCTGATAGCTGAGTTGTGAGATTGGGGCTCCTGACCTTTGCTCCAATGCTCTCAATGACATGCCTTGCTCTTCTATCAAGATTCTTTGGCTCTTCCAATCCTTTCAACATTTTGGTGCTGTTCCCCAGATTTTTTTTCTCCTCATTGCTGATGCTTCCCTGCTCATTCTTGGCCTGGAGTTCCTGATGATATTGTAAAAGCAGCTCATGAAATTTCCATCCAACATGTCTTGGCAATACTGTATGGCAGTGGGATCTCTCGAGCTCCACCCATGTCCTGATCTGCTCATAGATGCTGGGGAATTGTAGCTTTCTGCCCCCACCCTTGGCTCTCATTCTCACCACCTTGGTAGCACCAGGCCCATGGTTCCCTCTTCTTGCTGATTTTCCTTCCACATGCTGCTCTGATGTGCTGAGGCCATGCTGCTCCATCTGCTTCTTCCACTCTGATCACATCTTCAATCTTCTTCCCTCTTTTCTTGGGAGGCAGCTGTGGTTCCTCTTCCAACTCCAATTCTTCTGTCCCAACTGATTCAGAGCTGAAAAACCTTTTCAGAGTTGATTGCTTCTGCTTGCTTCCCCCTGAGGCTGATGTAGCTGATGTAGGTGATGCTTTCATTGCTGGTGCTGATTCTGCTGATGTAGGGCTGAGCTCAAGCTTTCTTCTGGCAGATTGTGATTTAGGGGTCTCATATACTGTTTTTTTCCCTCTAATTCTCCTCAAAACCATTTGCGCATCAAATGAGTCAGTGCTGTTTGCCTTGTTCAAGCTGCTGGATTCATTCTTCTTATCTTTTTTTTCTTCTTGTTTTGCTTTATTCTGATTCTTCTCATCATCTCCTCCTGCTGCCTCTGTCTTAACCTCATTGCTTCCCTCATCAGCCTTTGTCTCTGCTACTGCTTCAGCCTCACTTTCTATCACCTCATCTTCCTCAAAATATTTCTCTTCTTCACCTCCCTCTTCTACATGTTGTTCTCCTGCTCCTCTGATTTCTCTCATTCTTCTTTTTCTTGCTCTTTGCTGCGCCTACCACATAATTTTGACATTAAGGAGGAAGAAGATCAGGAGAGTACACCAGGATAGAGAAATACAGATGCTATATGAATATGATATCAAGTAATTATTCTATATTGATACCAAAAATGTGCTTTATTATTGATGTAAGCATATATATATATATACACACAATGCCCAAATGCAAACTGCTGATGGAAACTGAAAGCTGCAACACTGCTCATTGCAAATCACTGCTGCTCAAAGTTGACAACTGCAAATGCACATCACTGCTGAATGCACCACTGCTGATCATTGAAAAATTGAAAAAAAATATTTCCCAAATGATCGATTTCTAATTAAAATCTTTATAAAAATCAATAGTTTCGATAGCTCACAAAGGGTACCCCCCATGAGCCCATGTCCCCCCTTAATAATAAACCAGGGCACCCTTGATTAATCAACCACCCCTGGCCTCATAGTGCTGCTTTTGCTTGCTTTCCTTCATTTTGCTCATTGCCTCTATGCTTTGCATCCTTTTGTTTTTCCTGTTTTCTTTCAGCTCATCTTGCTGCCTCATCGTTTTTAGATCAATGTTGCTTGTTGATCTTGCCAATTTGCTCCTCATTGCTTTGATCTCATCCTCCTTCCTCTTATCTAGCTCTTTTTGTTCCTCATCCTCTGCTATTTCCAGCTCTTGCCAATCAAAGTAGCTGCTCATGGGGGTGCATGTTTCCTTCATCTGGGCCACAGGAAAATGCAAAGTTTGCATTTTCCTGTGGCCCATCTCCATTTCCTCCTCTACTTTATCCAGCTCCTCCCAGTTGAAGTAGGTGCTCATGGTGTTGCCTGATTTCCTCATCCTTTGCATCTGCCTCATGTTCATCCTTTGCTCCTTCTCATCCTTCTTTTTGATACTCCAAAATGCCTTTGACCTCCTCCACCTCATCTTTGCTACTAACTCCTTCACTTTCTGTGCTAATGCCACATGCCTTTGCTTCTTAAATGCCTCATCTAACTCACACCAATCAAAAAAAAGATCACCAATGCACTGCTGATCATTCCCATGCTGCCCAGAGAAGCCATTGCTGGTAGGCCCATAGTGCTCATGATGCCCATCTTCAAAAGGAGCACCACCACCATTCTCATCAGTGCCACCATCATCCAGCACCATGCTCATGCTGCCATAGGCCTGATCCAGGAGAATAAAAATTGGGCCATCACTATCCAATGGGAAGAAGCATCATAAAGACATAGTTTTTTTGATATTCTGGATCAGGCCTATGGCAGCATGAGCATGGGCCTTGGAGATGATGGATGAGCCTATCTCCACTGGAATCTTTGACTGGGATGAGCTGGACCTGATCCAGTCTGGAACTGATCCAGTTTTGTTGTCCATGGAATGATTCTTTTCATTGGATGGTGGTGGCTCATGATGAAAAAATCTCATAATCTCTATATTATGTTTTGAAGTTTTCCAATCAGATTGTGATAGCTCATGCCTAGCGATGAGTTAATTAATTTGTTAATATCTCATGGGACCCATAATGTTTTAACCATCAAACCTTTTCAAATCCAATGGAATCTGATGTGGCCCAAAAGCATTTAAGAATCAAATCTTATCAAACCCAATGGAACATTATGGTTTCCATGAGATTATGTCGATCAAATCTCATCAAACCTCACCATACCCAAAATCCATGCAACCATAGGCCTCCAGAGCATCCCAGCCACAGATTCCTTTGGAGATAGGCCCATCACCATCATCTCCAAGGCCCATGCTCATGCTGCCATAGACCTGATCCAGAATATCAAAAAAACTATGTCTTTATGATGCTTCTTCCCATTGGATAGTGATGGCTCATGATGAAAAATCTAATCATCCCCTTTCTGTTTTGGTATATTCCCATAAGATTGTGATAGCTCATTAAACCCCATGAACCCATATGCATATGCCTCATCCTCATCAAATCTTATGAAATCCATTAGAATCTGATGGGATTCATGAGGTTTTAGGACTTAAACCTTATGAAATCCAATGGACTTTGATGAGTTTCATGAGATTGAATGCATCGAATCTTATGAAATCCATTAGATTCTGATGGGGTTCATTAGGTTTTAGGACTTAAATCTAATGAAATCAAATGGAATCTTATGGGTTCTGTCAGATTATGACATAAAAATCTTATCAAATCCCATCATCCCCAAAATCCATAAACCCATAAGCCTCATCCAGGGAATCCCAGCCAATGCCAGTGCACTCATCTCCAAGCATCATGCTCATGCCATAAGCCTGATCCAGGAGATGGAAAAAAATGTCTTTATGATGCTTCTTCCCATTGGATAGTGATGGCTCATGGTGAGAAATCTAATCGTCCCCTTTCTGTTTTGGTATATTCCCATAAGATTGTGATAGCTCATTAAACCCCATGAACCCATATGCATATGCCTCATCCTCATCAAATCTTATGAAATCCATTAGAATCTGATGGGATTCATGAGGTTTTAGGACTTAAACCTTATGAAATCCAATGGACTTTGATGAGTTTCATGAGATTTTAAGCATCGAATCTTATGAAATCCATTAGATTCTGATGGGATTCATTAGGTTTTAGGACTTAAATCTAATGAAATCAAATGGAATCTTATGGGTTCTGTCAGATTATGACATAAAAATCTTATCAAATCCCATCATCCCCAAAATCCATAAACCCATAAGCCTCATCCAGGGAATCCCAGCCAATGCCAGTGCACTCATCTCCAAGCATCATGCTCATGCCATAAGCCTGATCCAGGAGATGGAAAAAAATGTCTTTATGATGCTTCTTCCCATTGGATAGTGATGGCTCATGGTGAGAAATCTAATCATCCCCTTTCTGTTTTGGTATATTCCCATAAGATTGTGATAGCTCATTAAACCCCATGAACCCATATGCATATGCCTCATCCTCATCAAATCTCATGAAATCCATTAGAATCTGATGGGATTCATGAGGTTTTAGGACTTAAACCTTATGAAATCCAATGGGCTTTGATGAGTTTCATGAGATTTTAAGCATCGAATCTTATGAAACCCATTAGAATCTGATGGGATTCATGAGGTTTTAGGACTTAAATCTAATGAAATCCAATGAAATTTGATGGATTCATGAGATTTTAAGCATCAAATCTCATGAAACCCATTAGAATCTGATGGGATTCATGAGATTTTAAGTATCAAATTTTATAAAACCCATTAGAATCTGATGAGATTCATGAGATTTTAAATATCAAATCTTATGAAACCCATTAGAATCTGATGGGATTCATTAGGTTTTAGGACTTAAACCTAATGAAATCCAATGGGATCTGATGAGACTCATGAGATTTTAAGTAATTATCAAATCTTTTGAAACCTAATGGAATCTTATGGGACCCATGGGGTTTGAACACTGAAATCTTATCAAATCTCATCATGCCCAAAATCCATGAACCCATAAACCTCATCCAAGGCATCCCAGTCAAAGATGCCATTGGAGATGATTTCATGGTGCTCATGATGCCCATCTTCAAAGGGAGCATCACCACCACCACCACCAAAGACCATGCGCAAATGCTCATAAGCCTGATCCAGGAGATGGAAACAAATGTCTTTATGATGCTTCTTCCCATTGGATGTTGATGGCTAATGATGAAAAATCTAATCATCCCCTTTCTGTTTTGGTATATTCCCATAAGATTGTGATAGCTCATTAAACCCCATGAACCCATATGCATATGCCTCATCCTCATCAAATCTTATGAAATCCATTAGAATCTGATGGGATTCATGAGATTTTAAGTATCAAATCTTATAAAACCCATTAGAATCTGATGAGATTCATGAGATTTTAAATATCAAATCTTATGAAACCCATTAGAATCTGATGGGATTCATTAGGTTTTAGGACTTAAATCTAATGAAATCCAATGGGATCTGATGAGACTCATGAGATTTTAAGTAATTATCAAATCTTTTGAAACCTAATGGAATCTTATGGGACCCATGGGTTTTGAACACTGAAATCTTATCAAATCTCATCATGCCCAAAATCCATGAACCCATAAACCTCATCCAAGGCATCCCAGTCAAAGATGCCATTGGAGATGATCTCATAGTGCTCATGATGCCCATCCTCATCACAGCCAAAGATCTCACCCTTCTCATCTTCAAAGGGGTCATTGCCATCATCCTCATCAGTGCTCTCATCCCCATCCCCAAGGTCAGCCAATGCCCAAAACCGATTGTGCAGGCTCATGGCTTTCCTCATCTCCTAATAGCCTATGAAGTAGATCACCAGCTAAAAGGGTGGGTTGCTGATTGCTGCTGATGCCAAAAGCTGCATGGTTTCTCATACATCTCATCCTGATTCTCATGTTTCAATCATGGGATTTCCTCATTGTTTCATTCTTGATTGTTTCATTCTCATCACTTTTTGAAGCATGCCTCATGCAAAATCTCATGTCTCCCCATCTTGCACTGGTTTTCTCATGGTTAAATCTCATGCCAGTTCTCATGTTTCACTGATTTGAATTCCTGATTTTCATGTTTCCCATGCAATAAATACATTAGGTTTTGATGCTTTCCAAAATGAGTCTTGTGAAAAAATTGATTAGAAAACCCCATTAACACTAATTACAATGCTTCCCACCCCATGCTCACTGCTGTTTTTTTCAGGCAAAATATGTCTGATGGTTTGCTCATGGCTCACATTGGCTGATGCCACTCCACCTTTATAATCCCATCATTAAAATGACTGTTATTGATAAATAATCATCTCATCAACCTATAGAACTAGTTAGTTATGATATCTAATCAACCTATATAGGTGGCCTATGGCCTGTTCCAGCAGCATGGATGTGCATTTATGGATGACTAATGTTTAACTAATGAATGATTGAGTGACTGATTGCTAATTAATTATACACTGATTTAAATGCACATCCATGCATGTGAGCTCATGGCATTCATGCTGATGATCTCATCTCATCAGCTCACCAAGCTCTGATCTTTTGGATCAAAGCTAAAATCTCTTGCCCATGTGGCCACCTCATGATCAGCTGGCTCATTTGGCCCTCATTCCACTCACTCAGCCCATCATGCTCCACCAAGAGCCAATGCCTCATGCCTTAGGTTTTGCTGTTTTCCCCATTGGGCGTTGAGAAAAAAACACATGCAATCTTATATAATTAATTAAAACCCAATGGTGCCTATGAGGTTTTAAGTATTAAACCTGATAAAATCCAATGGGGTCTGATGGGATCCATGAGGTTTTTAGTATTAAACCTGATGAAATTCAATGGAATCTGATGAGATTCAATGACATTAATTAATTATAAACTCTTATGAATCCCATTAAAAACCATGGGGTTCCAGTCCTTTCTCATAGACACTCATATTCTTAGTTCAGCCAAGACACTCAATGGGTGATCAGGCCTGATCAAGTCCTCATAGTGTTCTGATGTCACCCTGATGGGAACGAATGCACCAGTCCTCAGAATCAGTGATGAACATGTATGCCAAGTGTATATCAACTAATTAACTAATTATATATGCAATTAATTACATCTAAAAAAAATATTTAAAAAAGTGCTCTAAATATTTAATTATACAACTATATAGTTAACTAATTAATTATATATGATTATACAATTAATAATCAAAAATCAACAGCTTAATTAATAACACTAATTAGGACCCAGTGGCTCATAGGCTGCCCTGATGTTGGCAATGAGCTCATCCAGCAGCTGATGGTTGGTCTTGCCCTGATCGTTCCTCTCATTGTAGATGGTGCCTAGCAATGGAATCACACCCAATGGTATCTTATGAAAAAAAAACACCCAACCAAATCCAATGAAATCTTATGAAAATCCAATGGAACCCATGGGGTTTAATTACTAACCAGGCCCCACCAAACCCAATGAAAAACCTAGTAATTAAGGCCCATAGGATTCACCCAATCTAACCTAATGCAATCTTATATAAAAAAAAAACAATGGGGCCCCAAGCAAGTTAAAACTGAAACCAAGCAACTCTCATGGGGCTCATTCATCCCCATCATCAGCTTCATGGCCACCTGGAACATGTGGAGCAAGCTGATGGTGCAGATGCTCACCCATGCCATCCTTGGTTGATGAGGATTGGCACCCAAATATTAATAAAATTAATACATATGTCATGTCATAAATATATATATATAACATTTAACATATTATTATATATATATAATTGCAACACACATATATATATAATTAATATATATATATAGTGCATAATTATGTATATAGTAAATAAATTCTATATAGTTAATTATATAGCATATAATAATAAAAAGAGCATATATATATATAATTATATTGCATATATATATATAGCACAATTATATATATATATTGCACAATTATATATATATACATATTGTGTATATATATATATATAATAGTAATTATATCTATATAATTATATACATAGTAATTATATATAATTATATATATACATATAATTAGCATATATATATATATACATGGCATGACTTATGAGTCCTATGTGCTACCAAGTAACTCATGGCTGCTGATCTTCAATGAGGCATCTCGCTCATAGGTGAGCCACCTCCTCATCATCGGGATCCTCTTTTCCATTGGGCACTCATTGGTCTCCCAGCCTGAGATGGGGGTTGATAAATTAATCCAATGGAATCTAAATGGAGTCAGGATGTTTTTAAGACTCAAATCCTATGAATTCCAATGGAAACTGATGGGATTCATGAGGATTTAAGTATAAAATCTCATGAAATCCATTAGAATCTGATGAAATTCATGAGATTTTAAGTATAAAATCTCATGAAATCTAATGGGATCTGATGAAATTCATGAGATTTTAAGTATAAAATCTCATGAAATCCAATGGGATCTGATGAAATTCATGAGGATTTAAGTATAAAATCTCAAAAAATCCAATGGGATCTGATGAAATTCATGAGGATTGAAGTATAAAATCTCATGAAATTCAATGGGATCTGATGAAATTCATGGTTTTAAGCATCAAATCTGATGAAATCCACTAGAATCTGATGAAGTTCATGAGATTTTAAGAATAAAATCTTATGAAATCCAATGGATTCTGATAAAATTCATGAGATTTTAAGAATAAAATCTTATGAAATCCAATGGGGTCTGATGAAATTCATGGGGTTTTAGGACAAATGGAATCTTATGGGTTCCATGAGATTCTGACACTAAAATCTTTTCAAATATCATCATCCCTAAAATCCATAAACCCATAAGCCCCATCCAGGGTATCCCAGTCAAAGAATGAATCCAAGCAGCCCATGATCACCCATCCACTGATGTCACCCAATCTTTGGCAGAGATGTCTGATGCGATCTCTCATCAGCCCACCAGTCTGACAGGGTTGCTGAGATGTCATGTGAAGCAACTAATTTATTAATCTATCTATCTACATATCTATCTATCTATCTATCTATCTAATCTAATCCAATCTAATCCAATCCAATCCAATCTAATTAATCTAATCTAACCTATCAATCTATCAATCTATTAATCTATCTATCTATCTATCTATCTAACTAACAATCCTTGCCCCACCTCATCCATCCTCAGCTCCATGGTGCTGATGAGATCAATGACAGCCTTCATGCTCTTGTCTGATGCTGATGTGCCACTGGATGCCATGTACTTGCCCATGGCATACCCACCTGATGGAGCTGGATGTTGATGGACATCATTGCTGAATCCCAAAAATAAATTGTAATTAATTATCCTAATTAATTAATTGTTTAATTAATTACTTACAGTATTATGTTTCATAGTTTCCTCATTGGATTCCACTGAATTGGTGCCCGATGCATCCCCCCACCTGATGCAGCCACCAATGCAGAGAGAATGACAGCTGTCAACATGGCGATGCTGATGGTGTCCTGATGATGGCGAGATGAGCTAATGCTGATCCAAAATGCTTCAAATATATTCACATGATCATCACATGCTCTCATGCACTCATGCACTCATGCTCTCATGCACTCATGCTCTCATGCACTCATGCTCTCATGCACTCAGGCTCTCATGTACTCATGCACCCATGCTCACATGCACTCATGCTCACATGCACTCAGGATTCAAATGACCACCCCATGAGTTTCAGCTCATGACCATATGGCCTTCCCATGGCACCCCCATAACAAACATTAATTTTGGTAGTTAAATCCAATATGATATCAAATTGCTCCTCATGGACCCTGAAACCTCATGAACACCAGAACCAACCCATCACTTCTGATTTGAAAATTTGGGGAAAAAACTTTTCCCCAAATGATCGATTTCTAATTAAAATCATTTAAAAAATCAACCATTTGGATAGCTCACAAAGGGTACCCCCCATGAGCCCATGTCCCCCCTTAATAATAAACCAGGGCACCCCTGATTAATCAACCACCCCTGGCCCCATTGTTTTTTTTCTGGATTGCATCAGTCATTGCTGATATTCATCTCATTACCTTCTAATCTGGAGTCTAATCTAGAAGCTCTATTGTTTCTGTATAGTCCTCATCCTTTGTTTGCGCAATCCTCCAGATCTGGTAATCATGCTGATTCCAACTCAGCTCTGCTCTGATCTGCTGCTCCACATCTGATAGCTGAGTTGTGAGATTGGGGCTCCTGACCTTTGCTCCAATGCTCTCAATGACATGCCTTGCTCTTCTATCAAGATTCTTTGGCTCTTCCAATCCTTTCAACATTTTGGTGCTGTTCCCCAGATTTTTCTTCTCCTCATTGCTGATGCTTCCCTGCTCATTCTTGGCCTGGAGCTCCTGATGATATTGTAAAAGCAGCTCATGAAATTTCCATCCAACATGTCTTGGCAATACTGTATGGCAGTGGGATCTCTCGAGCTCCACCCATGTCCTGATCTGCTCATAGATGCTGGGGAATTGTAGCTTTCTGCCCCCACCCTTGGCTCTCATTCTCACCACCTTGGTAGCACCAGGCCCATGGTTCCCTCTTCTTGCTGATTTTCCTTCCACATGCTGCTCTGATGTGCTGAGGCCATGCTGCTCCATCTGCTTCTTCCACTCTGATCACATCTTCAATCTTCTTCCCTCTTTTCTTGGGAGGCAGCTGTGGTTCCTCTTAGGATTCACCCAATCTAACCTAATGCAATCTTATATAAAAAAAACCAATGGGGCCCCAAGCAAGTTAAAACTGAAACCAAGCAACTCTCATGGGGCTCATTCATCCCCATCAT